AAAAACTTCATGTGACACGAATTTCAAATTTATTTTCACATATAGAAAAGCAGCCTCAGGGAAATGTCACACGACTATTATGCATTCTGCAGTAATTCTGCGGTTTATGTTTTTTTCAAAAAAAAAAAATTTATAGTTAAACGATTTGGTGGTGTGCAATCAGAAAGAATAGTTATGCGAACATTTGTTATTTATTTATTGTTATTTTTTCTTTAATATTTAAAATATACTACCATTAAAATAAAGCATATTTAAGCTTTGTAAAGACTCTTCAGATAAATTTTGTCGATTATCATCTAAAATTGAATTATATTTGGAAAAGCTTCGTTCTACACTACAAGAAGAAATTGTTAACCAAATATATTCAAATGCTATTTGAGATAAAAGGGGCAAATTTTCGGCCATGTTTGACCAATATTTATCTAATGCTAATGAAACTTCTATATTAAACGTGGATCCACAATAAATAGCCCATTCATCTAATAAATCATTAGATGGATTATTGAATTCTTTAATGATATTGTATTGACGTATATCTCTTTGTGTTAAATCAATAAATCGAATAAATTTTGGATCAAAAATTTGACATGCATGAAAAAGAGGATGTCCAGGATGAGAGGGAATATGTGCTGCAAACTTTTGGTGAGCCACTCTAAATGCTTGTTGGAAAATAGGATAAAACTCATCTGGGCAAAAATGATAATTAGTAATTATTGAAGTTGACGTTGTTTATTTTCATACACGTTTTTCTTAGCTTTATGTGTTTTACTATTAAGGTGGTCATCAACCGTTGACTTTCGTATCCAATCAACAGGATGGTCACAAAAATTACAAAATAAAATTCCATTGTCAATGCGAAATTCACCAGGATTATCTTTTACTCTAGTATTGATTGTAATCGTTTTTCTTGTACCTCTCCTTCTATTATTCATCATAAAAAATAATTTTTTGATTATCATGTTACACTTATTAAATTCCATTTTTATATTATCTGTGGTATTCTGCGGTGTTCTGCGCTATGCAGAAAATCATTGTCCCTGGGTTGGACCCATCTAAAAAAACTTCACCTGGGTGACCCGCGGGTCAACCAAGTAGTGAACAGATCTTTCTATATATGGATTTAATTTACATAAATGATTTTATTTTTTAAATTATATAAATCAGACATAATGTTAAACATCATTGTGGTTATACTTGCTGCCCATACTAAGGGATATGGGACAATCCCCAATCCCATTGGGTATGGGTGGGTGGGGCTTTGATGTTAGTAAAATCC